TGCTTGGGTTCAAAATATGCTGTGCTACAGATGAAAGTGGTAATTGTGAATGTATTACTCAATTTTCAAATGGAATTTGTTGGGGATGCGTCGGAGGAGCCGACACTTTATACTGAATTAACGCTGCGCACGAAAGATCCGCTAATGTTTACGTTGCGGGAACGTAGAGAAATTAGTGGAATGTAAGCAGTAGCATTTTGAGGAACTACTTTTTTAATATTTAAAAAAAGTTGATCGTTTTAAAAACAGATTAAATAAAAATTAAAATAAGTTGTAAAAATTAATTAAGAATTTAAATTATAAAAAAAAAAAATATTTAGAATTCTTAAAACAGATTGATAAAAAGAAAACATAGATGTAGAAAAATTTAAATAATTAGTTTAACTCTTCAGCACAAATTCTGAACCACCCCCGTGTATACAAATTGTGGGTCAAAATGACCCAATAGAAATATGTATGCTGTAGGGATATTAATCCCAAGGTCCTGGCCTCTTTTAGGTGCGGAAAATCCCGGGATTATTTGGCAAGAATCCGGGGATTTATGGAATTCGTAATTTGCAATGGTGGCACTAATAGAAACGCCCTATGTTGACCAGTTTTAGCTATATTTCTTTGGTTTATATAATATTTTTTTATAAATGTTTAGCTAATTATACATACACATAACACCGAGCTACAGGCAATTTTACACACACAAAAATACTAGTAGTTTTTAGTTTTTCTCTCCGACATCAGGAATTTTTAAAAGGACTTTGAAAATTTAGTAATATGAGTAATTCAGAAAATGGTTTAAAAAATTTAGTGCAATGTACTTAGGAAAACATTATGGGTATCAAATTAAAGAGAAAATTCTGTAGAGAAAGAGCAGATTAAATTTTTTGGTGCATAAGGTACGAAGGTATTTATTTTGAAAAAATTATATGTTAAGAAATAATATAAACGCGACAATGTCCTCGAATATAGTCCTTCTAACTTTGTTAGCCTAAAAAAAATAAAATTGATAAGAGGGGTATTTTCAATACTTATTCGTCCTTGTGAACCCAAAAAAATTTAATTTTTTTTTAATCCTACAGAATTTTCTCTTTCATTTGGTAACCATTTTTTATTCAACATTGCACTGAATTTTTAAAATAATTTTTAGAATTTATCAAATCTTTGAGATTATAAAGTTCTAATAAAAAAATTCTAAAACTAAAAACGCAGTTTTACTATATTTGGCCCATAGTGTCGTGTGTATATTGATTGCTTGGTGTGTTTTGAAATTTTTTTGTTTCAACCTTTTTCAATCTTTTTACTCAGAATTTTTAGGTACGCAATTTTAAAAGTATAATAATAATAATAATAATAATAATAATAATAATAATAATAATAGTAAGTATGTTCGACAATTTGTTTATATGGAATTTGTTTAAATGCCCAGCATCGTTTAAAAAATTCCCAAAAATCAACCGTATTTTGTAACTACTACTTTAATTTAATGGGTTATAAAACTGCGTACCTTAAATTTTTCTAAAAATGCCGAGTAAAAACTTTGAAATTTTGGCAATTTTTTTTTGTATTTTCATAATTTTTATACAAATTTTGAAATGCGCATTTAAATGCGGTTAATTGTATGTAAAATGAGGTAGACCTTTATAAAAAAAAAATTTTATATTAAATAAACAAAAGAAATATAGACTTAACTGGTTGAAATAAGGCGTTTCTTTTATTCCTGTCACTAGTATTATGAACTTCTTTGAGCCACACAATACATATGTTGATCGCAAAAGTCGAAAAAATTAACATCCCTAGCACATCACATCAAAAAAAGCAAAAGGCCACAAATGATTCAATATTTTCACTCACTCCGCTTCCACGCAATCACTTACCACAAATTGTATCCAACATACAGACACCCACCGTATGCAA